CTCGCCAGCTGGGCGACGATCAAAAACGGATCATACGCGACAAACGCGGCGGCTTATGCGGGCCGCAGCGACCGCACGCGGCAGCTTATGCAGGCCGCCGGCGAAGCACGCCATATTGGAGACGAAGGCGTTTACACGCGCGACCTCACACGCGGGCAGCTTACGGGCCAACGTCGGCGAAGACGATTCCGTTTTTTGGGCGTCGTTCGGCGGGGCTCACGGAGAGCTGGACCCAGGACCGCGCAGAGTTGGCTGAGGTGGACCCTCAGCGACCACCTAGGCAACTCCCGAGATCCCGGCAGGAGGGCCGGAGTCCAGGGTGCCGTCTATGGGTCCAGAGTCTGCGCAACCTTCGAAGTGGCCGCCGCTGCCGCTGCCCTGTGGTGATGATACGGTACCTTGTGGGCACTCGGCACCGAAGTAGTACTCGCCCTCGCAGATGCTACACGTCATGACAGTCCCGTCATAGCCTTGCGGGGTGCGGCGTACATCTCTCGTTTGCCTGACGAGCACTTTCTGAAACATTGTCCTTTCCACCTCCAAGAGAAATGCGTACATCTGGGAGCTCTTGCCTTTTCATGTTTACGTATTTCTGCTGAAGGTGCCGTTGCTCTTCTTGATAATTCGACGCACCTTAAGAGTAGAACGTGGCATGTGTCTGCGCCGCTGTCGTTCAGCAGTCTTCATTTGCCAGAACAGCTGAGCATCGATCTGGGCAGGGTTAAAACTTTGGGGTTCGTGTGCTTTGTACTTGACGTTTCCGCTTTGGCCCGTGCTCGTCTCAGGGGAGGCCCCGCTGTCGTAGTCGGCTCCGTGCGCGGGCGCCCGCGCGGCGGCGGGGCGCGTTGCCAGCGGCGTCGCAGCGCTCTGAAAGGGGCCCGAAGCGCGCGGCAGGGCACATCCTGTTCCAGGAAGCTCGGCGGCGCTGGCAGCCCAGGGATCGAGACCTTGAGTGCGCCAGGGGCCATGTGTATCGTCACTGTTGTCATTGGCCATGCCCGCGGATCTTCCAAACGATGGCGGAGCATGGTGGGCGGGGGCGATGTTGTTTGGTGCGTGTTCCACGATGTGACCCACGCGCATGAGCATAGTCGTGAGACTGTTGGACTCGGCCTCTGTGGCTGGATATCGGTTGCCGTCCGATTGGAGCAGCGCCATGAACTGGCTAGCTGTGACACCGACCGCTCGGAGGAGAAACCATAATAGCTTCCCCACGACGTCGCAGATCCACGGTTGTGCGTATTTTGAAATCGCAGCGTGAGAAGCCGCGAGAGTAGCGCGTCGGTGGTTTCGTTACGTCGTCTCGAAAAAATCGAAGAGCGCGCGGGCTGCTTGGAAGCGCGATTCCTCGCCTAGTGGGCCGAACTGCGAGGCGAGGTTCGCGATGAGGTAGATCACGGCGTCCCCTTGGTGGCCGTTGACCGTACCTCCCTCCGTCATTTCCATGAAACTCATGGACCCATGGAGCGCGGGAGCTCGCGAGCGGCCCCACCAAGGTTGAGGATGACGGCGGCACATTGTTGAGCGCTGTTCCATGTCGGCGGCTAGCACGCTCCAAGCGACCAAATCCTGCACCCGGTGGCGAAAAGGATACACGGACTCGCGCTCGGGTGACCATGAGGGCGGCTGGCGGGATGTGATGGCACCGCGGCCGCCGCCGCCCTATGGGCTGGCTCCACCAGGCATCATGCCCATGAGCCAAAACAGGACGGCCACGAATAACTCGAGGATTCTCCCCCTGAAAGTCAAGATGGACATTCTCCTCGATGCCACCTCACCACGATGATGGCTGCATAGGCGCCTTGGGGCTCCGGCCTGCGCAGGGGCGAACGCCACGTCGAAGTGCGGGGCAGCCGTGATGATGGCGTTATTAATCTTGGTCGAAGCCGACGTCGGTGATAATTGCACATTGACTTGAGGTGCTTACAAGGACAGCCAGCACGACCAAATACGTAACTACCGAAGCACAGCGCTAGCCCAGGATAGAGCCTCGCACTCATGCCCGACGCGAAGCTGCGACCAGTGCCTGCGGGGCTGCGATGGGTCAAGGAACGTCGTGGCGCCCCTGTGAACGATTCGCTCCTCATCGCGGTTAGCCCTTCTGCCGTTGCCCTCGCAGTCGGACCGGGTGTCCGAGGCGAATTGCCGGTTGGCTTGCAGACGAGCAATAAGCACGGGCTACTCAGGGAATGGAGGGCGGTACCGATGCGGAAGGGCAGATGAGTGCGAATGTGCGTCCACACCGCACGCTTCGCACGTTCCGTGCATCGCGAGCTGGGATCGCCCCCAGCTCTGCTACCAACTAGAATTGCGGGGGTTGGAAGCTGCACGAGAGAAAGCACGGCGGCAATAAAATGTATATTGCGGAACATTTACTATTCATACAGAGTGTATATACATGTATATATATATACATATACATATATATATATATATACATATACATATATGTGTATATATACATATATATATATATACATATATATATATATATATATATATGCGTCGGCGCTCGGGCCAAACAGTGGCGAACCCTCCTATTTGAGTGACGAGGAGGCGGAGGAGGAGGCGACCGAAGCGGCGAAGAGGGCGGTGGAGGAGCATCAAGAGAAAGACGAGGATGAGGAATACAAGGACGATGACGGCGCGGTTTATTCAGAAAACTGGTTTAGGACGAGGAGGAACTCTAGGAGACGGGGTCGACCAGGAGGGGGGCGATGAACACAGGGAGAAGGACGACGACGATGCAGATGAGGACTAGGAGGGCAAATGCGGAGGAGGACGAGGCGGACGAAGAAGTGAAGATGACAGCGATGAAGAGGACGAGGATTGAGAGAAAGAGGATCAGGATGAGGAAAACGATGGGAACGACGAACACGACGACGACGACGACGACGACGCTTAGGTCGGACATGTTCTCCTACAGGTGGATGTTAAACGATTTTTTCCCAACCATCCTGTGGTGTTGGGTCCTCGTTTTGAAGAGACGGTGGCCCGCGTCTCCTCTCCTCCTCCTCTCCTCCTCGCCTCTCCTCGCCTCTCCTCGCCTCTCCTCTCCTCTCCTCTCCTCTCCTCTCCTCTCCTCCTCCTCTCTCTCCTCTCTCCTCTCTCCCTCTTCCTCTCATCCGCCATCCTCTCTCCCCTCTCCCCTCTCCCCTCTCCCCCTCTCCCCTCATC